TTGGAACGGGTCCCATATGAGGAGAGGTTAAAGAGACTGGGACTTTTCAGTTTAGAAAAGAGGAGACTGAGGGGTGTCCAAACTTTTTTCAAAGAGGGCCAGATTTGATGAAGTGAATATGCGTGAGGGCCGACCATTTTGCCTGACATTCTTTGAACCATTAAAATTAAATGCAAATTAACTATTTTATGCAAAGTTTATTGCAAACGGCATACTTTTCATTTCGTCACATGGATGACAAATCTAAACAGGTTATCTGAAGGCCAGATGAAAAAAAATCCAGGAAGCTGAAATATATGTCAGGAACATTGTAAAGTACATTACATATTATTGGTAATAAAGGTTGTCTGTCAACTTTTAAGTTCAAAAAATATGAACAGGAACATAACACCAAGTATACATGTTGTGTCCAAATATATTTATAACTGATTTAGACCAACTGACATTAACTGAGATTTTACAATGTATTCATCTCAATACATATGGATTCGTTGGGGGCCATAAAAGATAGATATTGCCAAATTACCTGTGGGGCCGTATTAAACCAGAACACGGGCCGCAATTGGCCAGCCGGGCCGGACTTTGGACATGCCTGGATTAGGAGATGGGTTTGGAATGAGAAAGCTGATCTCAGAGGGTACGTCTACACTAGCCCCCTAGTTCAAACTAGGGAGGCTAATGGAGGCATTCAAAGTTGCAAATCAAGCCTGGGATTTAAATATCCTGCGCTTGATTTGCATCTTCCCAGCTGGTCGCCATTTTTGAAATTTACAAGTCCAGACTAACTGCCCCGTCTACACGCGGCAGGGACCCGGTAGTTCGAATTAAAGCCCTAAATTGAACTATCTGTTAAACCTCATTGCAGGAGTTTGAACTGGGTCCCTGCCGCGTGTAGACGGGGCAGTTAGTCTGGACTTGTAAATTTCAAAAATGGCAAGCGGGCAAGTGTAGACATCCCCAGAGGGACAAGGCTGGAGAAATACGGGGTGAAGGCATGATGGAGCGGGCAGGCAGAGAAGGGCTTGGGACTGACGGACTGAATGCGGTGAGGGAGCTGGCAGGCAGACGGGAGACCGTGGGGCACCGCCAGGCAGCGTCACTGACACAAAACTCACCTGGGGAAGCGTGTGTTCCTGCCCCCAGGCAGCGGGGGCAGCTCTGAGCAGCAGGCCCACAAAGCAGCGTGGGCCGAAGAACCGGGCTAGCTGCCAGAGCAGCATGCCAGGCGTGGGTGGGCATGTGGGTGGAGTGACAGCAGGAGCCAGGACCGGGCTAGGCACTGCCGGAGCAGCGGGGACGCTGAGCCTCAAAGGGCCTGCAACCATTTCCAGTCCGCAACAGCAGGAGGTCTCCTTGGAAGGGCAAGGGAGGCTTGAGACCGAAGAGGGTCTCCGGGGGCAGCCGTCCACCCCCGGCGGTGAGGCTGCCAGACACACAGCAGGAAAGGAAGGCCCAAGTGGCTGCAGTTTAACACAAACTGTGTTCCTCCCACGTGCTGTTTGGGCCTTTGAGTGAACTCACGGTACTCGCAATAACTATCAGCCAATGCCAGCCCGGCAGGAAGACCTGGAACCTCTCTCGCATGGGGCAGCCATGGTGCTCCGTGTTCTACAGGCCACCAGATCCTGGCTTCCAAACTGCCAGGGAGTTATTTGGTGGGGAAAACCAGCAACAAAATTCCGAGATTCCCCCCTCCTCCGGCTCAGACCCACACGCCCAGTCTCCCGGTGGCTCCCGGGGCTGACAGATGGTTTTTTAACCAAGAAGAAGCTCTCACTGGTCGTTCCTGGGGCGCGGGGATCAGAAGGGCTAGATGGCGGCACAGCCATTGGGCGCAAGGACTCGGACCTACACTGGGAGCGATCCACGGACACCTAGGCTGTCAGGGCTGGATTCTGATCTCTGGGAGCCCAGCGTGAATGTGGGGCACCCCCAAGGTGCCGGCAGGGTTAAATGTGGGGAGCAGGGTTCCCGAGGAGCTGGTTTTGCTCTCAGCAGGGTGGTTCAATGGGGCAGAGCAGAGGAGTGGGGGCTGGGCTCTAGGACTCCCGGGTTGTCGCCTTTGCTCTGGGAGGGGTGTGGGGTCTAGTGGTTAGAGCAGAGGAGGGCTGGGAGGCAGGACTCCTGGGTTCTTTCCCTGGCACTGGGAGGGGAGTGGGGTCTAGTGGTTAGAGCAGAAGAGGGCTGGGAGGCAGGACTCCTGGGTTCTTTCCCTGGCACTGGGAGGGGAGTGGGGTCTAGTGGTTAGAGCAGAAGAGGGCTGGGAGGCAGGACTCCTGGGTTCTCTCCCTGGCACTGGGAGGGGAGTGGGGTCTAGTGGTTAGAGCAGGGGGGCTGGGAGGCAGTACTCCTGGGTTTTCTCCCTGGCACTGGGAGGGGAGTGGGGTTTAGTGGTTAGAGCAGGGGGCAGGACTCCTGATCTACCACTCGCAGGCCGGCGCAGCGCTTGGGCATGCAGAACAAGCTGGGCGGGTTTGTTCCCCGCCCCGCCGGCCGGTATATAGGAGCCCGGCGCCCCAGAGGGCTGGCTGGCTCCCTCGCAGGAGAGACTGTGCGGAGCCTTGTGGAGTGGTATGGGGGAGGGGCGCAGAGCCGCCCAGAGGGGACGGCTGATGGGCTGGGGGGCCCTGCGGCTCCTGGTCCTGGCTGGGCTGAGCGGGATGTGGGGTTTCCACGTGAAAGGCTGCAACGAGGTGGAATCGCACTCCAGAGGTGAGAGCCACACTTGGGGGGGCTGGGAACCAGGATTCCTGGGTTCCCTCTCTGGCAGGGGAGTGGGGGCTAGTGGTTAGAGCGGGGGTCTGGGAGCCTGGGTTCCATCCCCAGCCCCGACAGTGACTCACTGCTGTGCCTCAGCAGTGGGTGTGGGTCCATCACCCCCCTCCCTGGGGCTGGGACAGCCGGGGGGACCCGATCAGTCACAGCACCTGGCCTGCACCTCCCCCCGCCTCACCGCTGCTCACTTGGGGGCAGGGGCATGGGGAGATGAGGCTTGGCTTGTTCCACCTCCCATGCCCCCCTCTCTCTTCTCTACATCCTGGAGAATTCACTGCTGTGGACGTTCAGAGCACAGTGATCCAGGCCAGGACCCCTCCAGCCCTGGTGCAAAGCTTTGGGGTCCCTGCAGGAGGCAGCGGTGGGTCACCCCACCCCCCTGGGGGAGTTTGCTTGACACCCACATTCACCCAAGGGCTGTGTCAGGCCCGGCCTTAAGCAGGAGGGTGTCCTTTCAGCTCCCTCTGGCTTCCGATGAGGGAGCTGGTACGCTTTAGGCCGCTCCGTGCCTCGGTTTCCCCTCCCAGCCTCTCTCTCGTGTATTCAGACTGGCAGCTCTCTGGGGCCTGTGTCTCTGGGCAGTGCCTAGCACGGTGGGACCCTGATCCGCTCCCTGATGCCACATGTGGCAGGGTTGGCTCGTGGGGGGCTAACAACAAACCAGGATGCGATGGGAATACGGGGGAAGGGGAGAACCGACCCATGGCAATACAGCTGACCCCAGAGGAGACTTAACCGGACTATCACTTTGTGGTAGGACGTGGCAGAGGTCACATGTTCTCCCACGTTTCTAGCCACAGCGGGGAATACCTGAAGGAAACAGACAAATTGCTACACTATTGGAGGGTCTAGGGCAGCATTTCTCCTGGCCCAAAAGGGGGGTGCAAGGTGCGACGGGCCGGGCTGGGTCTGGGCACCACTGAGGGCGTCCGCTCCGGGCGAATCGCTCAGACTCCGGGCTCCTTACAGCCCCAGACTGGAGCCCTTCCCAAACAGGCCACACACCAGTCCCACCGAGCGCTCCAGCTGCCAATCTGGCCAGAAGGAAGCCTCGTGAGCAAAACCCCTCAGACACCCCAGCTCTCCCCGTGCCCTAACCAGCCCCGGGGCTAACACAGGTGAGGGGTTAGAACCCAATTTCAGCTACCCTGAACAGGTTCTTCCGGTCCCAAAGAACCAGCCACAGATCCCTGGTCAGTTTACACTCTGGATCTTCCCCACAAGACCACGCCGGGCCAGTCCTTTCGAATCGAACATCGAAAGGTTTATTACTAAAAGAAAGAAAAGGTGGAGAGCGAGGTTGTGAAGGAGAATACATTACATGCACCAATTTCCCAGTTCTCGATGCCGGCTCTCAGCAGAGATGTTACAAACTGCTGGCTTAGAAGTCTCTGGTGTCCATCCTATGTCAGGATGGGTCAGCATCCTTCCCGGCCTCTGTCCCTCGCAAGGCTGCATCTGGGATCAGTGGCAGAATTGAAGGCAGGATGGAGTCTGCCTCATGGCACTTTATATCCACCCCTGGTGCCTTCCAAGCCGGAGCGGGTCACATGGCCCAGTGACCGGTCCCTGTGTCCCAAGCCAGCGGCCATTAGATACTGATTGGTCTGCAGGTTCCAGACGCATTCCTCACGTGTGTGATGGGCACCTTGCGAGCCATTGTCCCTGGAACTGTGCTAATTAGTATTGTCATCAACTGAACATCCTCCTTTACAACAGACAGTGCAGGCCAGTATCAGCACAGAGTCCATAATCGTAACTCCACACACAGACATCACACAAGCACATGAATAACACACAGAGAATCAGTAGGACACAAGCTTCCATTTGACACCTCACATGGCCCCCTTTGTACAGACTTTGGGGCAAACACCCTCCCCCCCCCATGGGTGCAGCAGTGATCTGGCTGCTCCCCTTCAAATTACACTAGGCTATTGTGGGGGGCAGGATTGTGAGATCACAATGTCTAGGGTTTCCATAATACGTCTGGATTTTCCCAGCCATGACCCCTTTTGGGGTCCTTTCTTGTCCTTTAATCCTTGCCTTCAGAGTTGGGTGACCAGATGTCAGCAACTGAAGAATATAAGAACATAAGAACATAAGAACGGCCATACTTGGTTAGACCAAAGGTCCATCTAGCCCAGTATCCTGTCTGCCGACAGTGGCCAGCACCAGGTGCCCCAGAGAGGGTGGACCGAAGACAATGATCAAGTGATTTGTCTCCTGCCATCCCTCTCCAGCCTCTGACAAACAGAGGCCAAGGACACCATTTTATCCCCTGGCTAATAGCCTTTTATGGACCTAACCTCCATGAAATTATCTAGCTTCTCTTTAAACTCTATTATAGTCCTAGCCTTCACAGCCTCCTCTGGCAAGGAGTTCCACAGGTTGACTACCCGCTGTGTGAAGAAGAACTTTCTTTTATTAGTTTTAAACCTGCTCCCCATAAAACTGCTGGCTGGAAGTCCAGCTCTGAAGGCAGCATCGCTGCCAGTAGCAGCACACAACGCAAGGTGGCCTGGTACACCGATGTAGTTCGGTTGGGATGGCACTGACCCCATTGTGTATGATAAATCAGATCATAGAAATCCCCTTGGGGTTGTCCGTCAGTGTGCTGATCATGCACTGACACCCACCTTCCCACCCTCCGGAGCTCCCCACCACCAGGTCTTGCTGGGCCAGATCCTCTGGTCTCCCTCAGGCAAGGCGCAGAGTTGGGGTAACAACCCCCCTGCAGAGCAACAGACACTGAACCCCTTCAGCTCTGGATGGAGGGGGACTCAGTTATGAGGGCTCAGGACCAGGAAACCAACCATCAAAGGGACCAAAATCCCAAACAAATCCATCTTACCCTGGGTAAAAGTTTTGCACAGTGAAAGCTGATACATTCAGTCCCCTAATAAATAACAGAGAGATATGCACAGTGGTTGTCCTCCAGGTAACAATTATTTACCCAGAGCTCGATAATAAATGACAGTGTCTGTATAAAGTGCAAACAGTCAGATTTAGGTGATTGCAAGTGAAAACGGACAGATCAAGGTAAGTTACTCAATGAAAATGCACAAAAATGCTTAGCTAGTTCGAAGCCACTGAGAAACTTTTTTTAATGCAAATTCTTTCTAAACAGCTGGTCTTAGCTCAGGGGGAAACTTCAAGTCAGGGTTGATCTTTACTCTCGCCGGGGTCTTCAGCCTTTCAGAGTTCTTCTGGTATCCTCCCCGGGCAGGCCAGGCACTTTCAGAGCCCCGCTGAAGACCTGGTGGCTTCCTGTTGCTTAAATAGACTTTCCCCCAGGGCAGGAACCCTTGGTTCAGCATCCCCCATCGCCATGGAAACGCAGCAAGTTCAAGATGGACCCAGTCCCAGGTGGCCTGGTCACATGTCTATCTAGGACCAACCGGAGTTTGGGTTTACAGGGCAAAGACGCCCATTCACAACGCGTCGGTTTGAGCACCGCGTCGTTATGTCTCCAGAGCATCGCTAACGACCCTCATTAGCATACTTAGAACTATGAATAGCTCCCCCCTCCATAAGTCTCACTTCTCCCACAAGCCCCGCAATAGGGTAATGACAAAAAGGATGTCAAGTATCAGGAGTAGCCGAGCTAGTCTGGATCTGCAAAAGCGATGAGGAGTCCTGTGGCACCTTATAGACTAACAGTATTGGAGCATAAGCTTTCGTGGGCAACTATACGCCATCGCGTGCCAGCTATGCCCCTCTGCCATACACATCGGCCAAACTGGACAGTCCCTACGTAAAAGAATCAACGGACACAAATCAGATCTCAGGAATGGCAATGTACAAAAACCTGGAGGGGAACACTTCTATCTCCCTGGGCACACGGTGGCAGATTTAAAGATAACCATCCTGCAGCAAAAAAACTTCAAGACCAGACTTCAGAGAGAAACTGCTGAGCTTCAGTTCATGTGCAAATTTGGTACCATCATTATAGGATTACACAAAGACTGCGAATGGCTAGCCAACTGCCAAAGCAGCTTCTCCTCTCTTGGGGTGTGTCTAGACTACAGGGTTTTGTCGAACTATACCTGCGTCTACACTACCGCCGAGTTCTGTCGACATAACGTCAACAGAATTCAGAAGTTTTGTTGATGGTGGTAAACCTCATTCTACGATGAATAACGCCTTTTGTCCACAGAGTTCTATCGACAGAAGGCATTATTGCATCTACACTGTCCTTTGCGCCTACACTCTCATGTCGAGAAAGCGGCTCGCTTTGTCGACAGAACTGGCTGTCGTCGAGACGCTCTTTGTCGACAGAATCCCGTAGTCTAGACATACCGTTGGTGTTCACACCTCCAGATCAGCTGCTAGATGTGGGCCTCACCCTCCCTCATTGAATTAACCTCGTTATCTCTAGCCTTATTCTGGCCTGCGTATTTATACCTGCCTCTGGAAATTTCCATGACATGCATCTGACAAAGTGGGTCTTTGCCCACGAAAGCTTATGCGCTAATAAATCTGTTGGCAAAATGGATGGTTCCCATGACCTGTTTTGCATAAAGCATCTTTGAGTTATGCATAGTCATGAGCCAATTTTCATCAGGCATGGGGTGGGGGTCTCTCTGACATTGTGTCCGACATCAAGAGTGGCAAGAGGGTGTCATCACAGCCTGAAATATTTTCCAGGGGGGAGGCAGCAAAACAAAGCCCCCCCCCCAGTTGGGTTACAAACCCAGGATTCGGAGGAGAAGCCCGTGTCGAACTCGCAAAGGCTGCGGAGAAACATTGCCCGGGGTCTGACCGCAGTCGGCAGGGAGCGGGGCTGACCTCTCTGTCCTTCTCTCTGATCTCTTTCAGTCCCCAGCACCCACCTGCCCCGGCCCAACGTAGGTGAGTCTCTGGTCCCTCCCTCCCCATTGGCCACACCCCGCTGGGTCACCCGGGCAACTGGCTCCCCACAGCCAATCAGAGCGGGGCTCTGTCTGGGGGCGTGGATCCCTCCAGGGCCCAGCCTGTGGCCGATTCGAGATGCTTTCGACTGGCCTCCACCCCGGCTATCTGAGCATCCCTCCCTCCTTCTCTCCAGTATGTGGCCGCCCCAGGGCGCTGGCCCACCACCGGAACGTGGGGGGTGAGGACTCGATGGAGGGCGAGTGGCCCTGGCAGGTGAGTCTGCTCTGGCACAACGAACACTTGTGCGGGGGATCCCTCATCTCCAACCGGTGGGTGGTGACGGCAGCCCATTGCTTCCAACGGTGAGTGTCGCAACATCCCTTCCCCTCGCCCCACAGTCTCTCCCCCGCCCCCGGCCGGTGCCCCTCACTCCCAACCCGCAGCCCCCCACCCCTGCCTTTTCCCACTCCGCTCTGCTCTCAGGAGTCTGAACACCTCCCACTACATGGTGCTTCTGGGAGCCAACACGTTGGCCAACGGTCAACCTCACAAGCTCGCCCTGGGCATCGGACGCATCATCCTGCACCCGAAATACTCCGGGGAAGCCTCCAGCGGTGACATCGCCTTGGTGGAGTTGGAGCGACCCATCCAATACACCGATTACATCCTCCCCATCTGCCTCCCGGCTGCCTCCGTCCAGTTCCCAGCGGGCATGAAGTGCTGGGTGACGGGGTGGGGCAACATCAGGGAAGGTGGTAGGTTTCTTTGGGAGCTGGGGCAGACAGACTGGGAACGTGGAGGGATCCAGGGGGTGGGGGATTTGGTGGAGTGGGGGATTTGGAATTTCTTTTCCACCATGGCCTACGAAGAACTTGGTGGGGGATTTGAAAAGGGGGAGAGCAGGGAACCAGTAGACAAACCCCAATGTGAACACACACAAAATAGAAACTGATGAATGCAATTGATAAGCAAAACCCGACAGGCAAAACAACGCCATGCAAAAGCCAATAAATGAGCCATAAAACCTAGAAACAAAACCCACCGAATCCTAAAAGGGGCACAATGAAGGAAACCAATAAAACACACTAAACAATCAACAATGAAACTGATAAACCTGATAAACGATAAAAGGAATTCGACAAACAAAACCAATAAACAAAACCCAATCCATGATAAAAGAACCGCGACAAAGGAGACCCAATAAACACCACTTGGTCAATAAAACACAGGCAACAATAAAGGAAACACAAAAAACAAAACAGGATAAAAATGGAAGGTGAGAGAAGGAACCCAGATAAGCAAAACCCAATAAATCATCGATAAAATGTGATCCATGAGACAAACAATTATATGGGAACTAAGATAAACAATACATGAAAGAAGATAAAGAAAACATGCTACCCTGCAAATAAAACAAGGTAAATGCAAGTGAAACACAACAAATGAAACATGATCAACAATAAATGAAACATATTGAACAAATAATTGAAAATGCAAACCCACTCAAAACCTGAGAAATAAAACACCAAACCCAAGAAACAACGCCCAATAAATGAAAACTGGTAATGGAAAAAGAAAACTTGATAAAAATACCCAATAACAATTCTTGGTAGATTTTTATTTTTATTGTTTTATCATTTTAACTGATATCTGTATTTTAAGTATTTTTGCTATTTTGTATCCATTTAAATTTTCACAGGTGCACAAAATTGTGGGTTTTAAGCATCTTCTTGTTTTTATCAATGTAAAATCTGGAAAATTACGGGGGCTGTCAAACAGGATGGGTCAGACAGTACATTATTGAGTTACTAGAGACATTGATTTCAAAACATGAAAGTGTTTTAACACAAATTGTCCAAATCACATGTCAAAATACATACAGGAAATACCCTTTCCTCAAACTCTCATTAGTTCTCAAACAGCTTCTTTGTTTGGCTCTCTGCACATTCCTGTTACTATCAATGGAAATATTTTTTTTGCGTGTGTGTGTGTGTGTGTGTGTGTGTGTGTGTGTGTGTGTGTGTGTGTGTGTGTGTGTGTGTGTGTGCATGCGTATGCATGTGTGTGTGAGCACATGGGATGAAACAGATGTTTACCAACATTTACTTATAAAAATCTTCTCCACCAAACCTGATAATCAATTTCCGATCAATATAACGGGAAACCCAACAATGCCAAAAATGGAAACATGAAACACAGTGAACAATAGCCAATAACAGCAACACAAAAGCTGCTGAATAATACCCAGTATGGGAAACAGATACACAATACCCAGCAGCAGAAATATGAAACCCAATGAATAAATGCGATATATGAAATCCGATAACCAATACCAATACAGGAAAGCAACAAGCAATAATCGATTGTGGAAATGCGAAAGCTGACAGATAGTACCCACTCGCCGTGACCACATAAAACCCAATACACAATACACGAAACAACCCACCACAAAATTCCTTAGTGACATGTGAGACAGGAAGCCCAAACCCCAGCGAAGCAAACTCAACATAAACGAAGCCAAGTATGGAAAACCAAGACAGGCAGACTGCAAACCCAACCACAGGAACCAGGAAAGCCCACAGCCAAAAACCAGCCAATGAAAAACAGGGATCCCAAAGCGCCTGGTCCTTTGAAACCGATTTCTCTTCCCTCCCCAGTAAGAATCCTAGAATCCTAGAACACTAGAATAGGAAGGGACCTCGAGAAGGCATCAAGTCCAGTCCCCGGCCCTCACAGCAGGACCAAGCACCACCTAGATCAGGGCTACTCACGCCTTGGAGACCACACTGATACTGCACATGCTGAGGGCCACAACTTAAGTGTGGTTGCATGTACATGCAAATATATGCAAATATATGCAAATAGCACGGGCATGAATACAAGGATTAAGGCAAGACTACATAAGTAGCCCTGGTCTAGATCATCCCTGGCAGGCGTGTGTCTAACCTGCGCTTACATATCTCCAGCCTGCATTGATGAAAACTTAAACCTGTTACACAACAAACTCCAACCCTGAAAGTCCACAGCTGAGTCCTGCGAGATTCCCCGGGGCTGAACAGGGCCCGTCACCTGGAAGGTCCCCTGGGAGGTGGGGGAGGGCATAAGTAGCCCTGGTCTAGATCATCCCTGGCAGGCGTGTGTCTAACCTGCGCTTACATATCTCCAGCCTGCATTGATGAAAACTTAAACCTGTTACACAACAAACTCCAACCCTGAAAGTCCACAGCTGAGTCCTGCGAGATTCCCCGGGGCTGAACAGGGCCCGTCACCTGGAAGGTCCCCTGGGAGGTGGGGGAGGGC